AAACACTGGCTGAAGCACTAAGTGCTCTTTCCACACTTGTGAACAGACACTCGTGTTTGCTCTTCCCTGTGCAAACACAACAAAAGCCACAAATCCCTGATGCTCACCAGCCCTGGCTTTGCCAGCAGCCTCCTGGAAACCAGCAGCAGAGAGAGAAACCCTTGGCCAAGGTGAGAAGAAGGGCAAACAGCCCTGAGTGGGTCAGCAACACCCACAGGGCAGAGGTTCCTCTCAAGGGATACCTGCAGCCTGAAGGGTCCCAACCCAACACCATGGCAGTTCCAGTCCCATGCCCTCGCACACAGACCCATCCAAGAGGGTCCCAAACCCATGTCCTTGCACACAGACTCACTTAAGGGGGTTCCAACCCCACAGCCTGGCACACAGACCCATTCAAGAGGGTCCCAAACCCATGCCCTCGCACACAGACCCATCCAAGAGGGTCCCAAACCCATGTCCTTGCACACAGACTCACTTAAGGGGGTTCCAACCCCACAGCCTGGCCCACAGACCCATTCAAGAGGGTCCCAAACCCATGCCCTCGCACACAGACCCATTCAAGAGGGTCCCAATCTCATGTCCTGGCACACAGACTCACTTAAGGGGGTTCCAACCCCACAGCCTGGCACACATACTCATCCAAGAGGGTGCCAATCCCATCCCCGGGCACACAGACCCACCCAAGGCAGTTCCAGTCCCATGCCTTGGCACACAGACCCATCCAAGAGGGTTCCAATCCTGTGCCCTGGCACACAGACCCACCCAAGGCTGTTCCAGTCCCATGCCTTGGCACACAGACCCATCCAAGAGGGTTCCAATCCTGTGCCCTGGCACACAGACCCACCCAAGGCTGTTCCAGTCCCATGCCTTGGCACACAGACCCATCCAAGAGGGTTCCAATCCTGTGCCCTGGCACACAGACCCACCCAAGGCTGTTCCAGTCCCATGCCTTGGCACACAGACCCATCCAAGAGGGTTCCAATCCTGTGCCCTGGCACACAGACCCACCCAAGGCTGTTCCAGTCCCATGCCTTGGCACACAGACCCATCCAAGAGGGTTCCAATCCTGTGCCCTGGCACACAGACCCACCCAAGGCTGTTCCAGTCCCATGCCTTGGCACACAGACCCATCCAAGAGGGTTCCAATCCTGTGCCCTGGCACACAGACCCACCCAAGGCTGTTCCAGTCCCATGCCTTGGCACACAGACCCATCCAAGAGGGTTCCAATCCTGTGCCCTGGCACACAGACCCACCCAAGGCAGTTCCAGTCCCATGCCTTGGCACACAGACCCGTCCAATAGGGTCCCAACCCCACGCCCTGGCACACATACTCATCCAAGAGGGTACCAATCCCATCCCCTGGCACACAGACCCACCCAAGGAGATCCCAACCCCACACCCTGGCACAGCCACCCCCCCCGTGCCACGGCCTTACCGGAGATGAGCTGCTGGCGGCGGTACAGGAAGGTCTGGCAGGCTGTATAGTCCCGGTAGACGATGTTGAGGCCGATGCTGTGGCTCTCCAGCCAGTGCACGGTGGCCAGGCCCCGGGCACACACCTCCAGCGCCCGCACGCGCAGCGCCCCGCGCAGCTCCAGCTGCACCCGCCCGTGCAGCAGCTCCCCACCGCCATGGGCCGGGCCGTCCTCCAGCCTCACCGCCAGCCTCCGCACCCGCCCCGGCGGCTGCATGGCTGCTGCCCACGCTGCCCACGCAGCTCCGGGAGGATGGTGCCTGCCTGCAGCTTTCCAGGGAAAGGAGGAAGAGCAAAGGCTACACCAAAATTCCTGAATTTATCGCGGTTCCTGGCTGGCCCCACCCTGCAGGCCTTCCCGGGGGTTGGGCTGAGGCCCTGCTTTGCAGCGATGCTTCAGCGTTGGCCTCATGTGCGTGAGGCTGACGATGTCCTGTGGTGACGAGGGACGTGTTTTTAAACTGAGAAAAAAACGTGCCTCCATCTTATCTCTGAGTCACAGACACTGGCGACGTGACACCGGGACGTGCTGGTGGCAGCGCTGGCAGGGAGGGGTGACACACACTGCCAGCGTGCTGGCAGATCTCACACAGCGGGCAATCAAAGAAAGCCTCTTTGGCCTTCCTGCTTCAGGCATTCCTGGGGCACTGCTGGAATGGGAGAGGAGCTCAGGAAGCAGAGGGCCTCACTCCAAAAACCAGCTTTGCTTTCTGTGTGTGAAGTTGCACTAAAATCCACGTGAAAAAGAATGTGAATAATCACAGGGACTCCCAGCAACAGCTCTTCCAGCCAGCTGGTGCCTCCAAGGGTGATTCCAGTACTTCTCCTCGTGGCTGTTCCTGCAGCAGCACAGGTGGCAATGCCACCTCAGGGTCACATCAAAGTAATGGGGCAGACCTGGAGCAGATGCAAGTCCCTGTTACTCCACCAAATGTTGCAAGTGAGGTATTTGACTGGAGGTGTTTAACAACGTGCTGGCATGAGGGACTGATGGGAGTGCCTGTGTGCACTTGGAGGATGTGAGTGCACGGCTCCTTTGAAGCACGTGTGGAGCAGAGATTGTCTCATTCCTGAAAAATAAAGAGTCAAATCCATAAAGGAAAGCACGAGGCTCGTGGGCCCGGGCACTGCTCACACACAGAGTGAAGCAGTTGTGAAACTCCACTAGCCCCGTGCTCAGAGGGTCGCGAGGAATCAAAGCCATGTGCATGAAAAGGCTGAGAAAAGCTTCTCAAGTGGCAGCTGTGCCACCCTGCTCGCTCAACCCCCAAGGGAGGGGGCTGGCCAGCCCCCGCTGATCCCTCTGGAACACACCTAGATCCCAAACAGAGTTAGTGCAAGCTCAGCAGTCAGGAAGTCCATGTGAGTGACCAGCTCTACAAAAACACAGGGCTCACCTCCAGGAAAACAGCCCACTCATCACAAGCTGGCCAGAGCTGCCTCGCTGTCCTACTGTTCACTGACCTTTGGTTGCAGGCCTTGACACCAAAATCCAAACAGAAAATAAGGGAATATCCCATCCCCCACGCAGCCCTGGTGGTGCCTCTCGCTCTGTTTGATCTCCTGCCCTTCCTCTGTGCCTCCCCTACCCCACCTGCTCTGTTCCACGCCGGGGCCTGCCCAGAGGCGCCATGGCTCCTGCCATGCTGAGGGATGTGTCACCCACGCCTTTGGGCTAATCTCCTAGTGTTTATTCTTGCTGTCACAACACCTCCTTGTGTCCTCATTCAATCTGAGAAATAGATGTTCCCTGTGACAACACACAGCCGGGCCAAGAGCGGAGCACAGGGACGGCTCTGAGATCCCACGCCGTGTAGGCAGCTCAGAGTGCGTCAGCAGCTGCTGGAGGAGGGAGGACATCACCTTCCTCTGGGGACAGGGCTCTGCCAGGGTCCGCATGGGGACACAGCTCCCTCGGGAGTTTGCCTTTTGGATTTCAGGGGGCTTGTGGGCTTGGGCGTGAACTCGCCTCTCTGCTCAGCCCCACAGAGGTTCTGTGCCCTCCTGGGCAGCCCCGGGATGAGCATTTCATCTGAGGAGACACAACAGCTCTCAGCTCACTGGATGGGGCTGAGAAAGGGGCAGTTGGCACCACTGAGCCTGGCAGCCCCAAGATCTGAGTGTTGTTACCTAAAGAGTCACCCCACCAGGGCAGCTGCAGCATCCTCTGTCTCCGGTACCTGGCACATGCTCAGCTTTCTCTGCAGGTGATGCAGAGGTGTCTACCCTGCCTGGACACCTCTAGCCATGACAATTTTCCTCCTCTGACCCTCTGTGGGGGACCTCAGTCCCCTTCTACCTCCCTCCAACGCTCCCTGGCTTAGGGATTTGGTTGTCTGTCCTTCCTCTCCCTTCAAAATATTTCTCACCTACAATTCTGCTCCCACGTGAGGCTGGAGCAGACAGGGTTTGGTGCTCACTGGTCCAGCTCAAGTAGCTCAGGAGCACACTCCAAGGGGAGTGCTGGGTGTAAACCCACTTCCCCTGTGGTTAATCCAAGCCTCTTAAGGCTGTGCCTGCTGTGGCACGTCTTTGGGGAGTCCCTCTGCTGCCTGCGTGGCACCAGCATGGCTGGCATGGTTCTGACAGAACTTTCATCTGCTGACAGATGGAATCAAAATAAAAATTAAATTCCAGGCAGTAAATTAGGAGGCAGGCACAGATAGCTATGTGCATTTCCCCTGCTGACAGGAAAAGGCCAGTTCTGCCATCAGCACTTTGCTCAAAACCCTCACCCAAACAGAAAACAACTCTCAGGGTAAGGAGGCAGATGAAGAAATTCACATGGCAGTTATGGGAACATCACTCCATATGGTAGTTATGGAGCTGCTCCAGAAGTTTAGGGCCAAGGAAAAGACCAATTCAGCTATGATCTGTTCCATGTGTTGATTTAGCAAATCAAATGGCTTAAACACCAATCCATGGCATGAAGGGACCTCTCTCTGAACTGCTGGACAAACAGGAGGCAGCGTCAGAGGAGGATTTTCTTAATGCCTTCCATGACCAGCTCTAACCACATCCTTTCCTGAGGTTGCATAAGCACAGCTTTTGATCAAAATCCTTTCCTTCCTCCCAAAAATAAATGTAAAACAACTTTTAAAAACAAATGTAGCGATGATGAAAGATCAAGACACTGATTCATGTCCCAGAAATAATTAATTTTATTCATTTTACGTAAGGAAGTAGCAAAGGGATTGACACCAGTGAGGTGAGTCACGAGACTGTGGGACAAGGATGTGGTGCATCAGGTGGGGAAACTGCAGCATCTGAGGATACAGCAAGTGCAGAACAACCAGAATCACTGAATATCTCAAGTGGGAAGGGACCCACAAGGATCTCAAGTCCAGCAGCAAAAGCTTGGCTGGGAGTGGCCCTGATTTAATCAAAAGGTTCTCCCCAGGGAATGTCCCGGCCCCAAGGCTGCCAGAGCTCTAGGAACTCTCAGGGATGCTCAGGGTGGGGTTGTTGGGGTGGCTGTGCAGGGACAGGGGCTGGGCTGAGCATCCCTGAGGGATCCAGCTCAGGGTATTCTGGGATTCTGTGATACTCGGCTATAAAAAGGCAAAATATCCCAGTAGTTCTTAGAGCTTTCATTAGCAGCAGTGTGAGTGTGACTCTGTGCCCAGCCTCTGCACCCATTGGAGCCCAGAGGAAGCGGGTGGGATCCATGTGCTGAGTACAGGTGTAGGAGGATGGAGAGAGCCCCATTTCTGTCTCCACACGGAATGTTCCCGTCCCAGCACTCAGCCGGGGGCTGGCAGGTCCCTACAGGGGGCACAGGGGAAGATCTCCTGTCTCCAGGTGATGTGGAGATCTGTGTGCATGTGAACTCAGGACCGTCGGGGCACAACGAGGGCCGCCGTCCGCAAGGGTCTCTACAAGATGGGTTTCCCAGATTTCTCGGAACCAACCCCGGCCCGGCTCAGCATCACCACAGAGGCGGGGCCGGCCTGGAACCCCAGAACGGGGAAACTGAGGGTGAGAAAAGGGCGGACGGAGGATTCGCTGGAGGGGTGCGGAGGCCGTGAGGGGCACGGAGAGCAGGACCCAGCCCCGGCCGGGGACCATCCCCGGCCGGGGACCATCCCCGGCCGGGCACCATCCCCGGGCAGGGTCCGGCTGGGCCGCGGGGCAGCCAGGCCGCGTTGCCATGGCGACGACTCCGCCTCCTTCCCGGCGTGCCCCGCGTCCGCACGTGACTTCACACCCGGAAGTGTTGCCATGGCGGCGGGCGCGCTCTGGGGGCTCGTGGCCGCGCTGGAGACGCACCGGGGCCGCGACCGGGCGGGGGGGGCGCCCCCGCGGGTACCGGGGGGGGAGTGGGGGGCGAGCCCGCCAGTACCGGGCGGGGAATGGAGAGGGGGTCTGAGCCTTCCGGTACCGGGCGGGGAATGGAGAGGGGGTCTGAGCCTTCCAGTAGCGGGCTCGGTGAGTGGGGTCTGAGCTCTCCGGTACCGGGCGGTGAACGACGGGACCCGACTCTGCTGCAGCGACCCGCCGTTAAGGGGAAGGGAGCACCTGAGCGATTCGTAAGTGCTCGGTGGTGGAAAGGAACGACAAAAGGCGGAGGGGGCACAAACAATCCAAGTTTTACCGGTAAATGACGGGATGGAAACGGGGAGTGCCGGAGCACAGCGCAGTGCGGGTGGGTAAAGGGAAGAGAATTTGAAGAGGTGAATTAAAGAAAGGAGAAGAGAACGAAAGAAGGAGGAAAAGAGAGCAAAAGGCTCAGCAGGGCTGGCTGAGCGGGCCGTGCCCCCGCAGCTCCGGGCGCTGTCCTACGGCTGCCAGCTGGCGGGGGCAGCGCTGCCCGGCCCCGCGGGGCTGCCCGGGGGGCTCCTGGCCGCCTCTGCCCAGCTCAGCTCCTGCCGCACCGCCCTGCGCCTCTTCGACGACCTGGCCATGCTCCGGCACAGCTGCAGCTACGGGCTGGGCCCCGAGGTGAGCGCGGCCCCGGGGCTCCCGGGCGGCCCCCCCGGCCCCGCCGCCGCCGTGCCCCATGCGCCGCTCTGTGCCGCTCCCCGCAGGGCGAGGACGCGCTGGTGAGGGGGCTCTCGGTGCTCTGCAACGCGGCCAACCAGCTCTACTACCCCTGCGAGCACCTGGCGTGGGCCGCGGATGTCGGCATCGTCCGCGCCGCCTCCCAGAAGTGGTGGACGCGGAGCACGGCGCTGTGGGGCTGTGCCCTGCTCCTGGGCATCCTGCGGTACGGTGGGCACGGTCCTGCCCTGGCACCGGGCTGTGGCACAGCTGGGGGAGGTGCTCTTCCTCGCTGGAGCTGTTAGTGCAAGAGGAAAAAAAAAAGAAGCTCCTCCTGTTTGGTGCTGTAGGAGAAATAACTCTGTGCTTTTCAGATCCCTGAGGATCTTGTTCCAGTTAAGAAGAAAATTGAGTCAGCACAAGTGGTATGATTTCCTTCTGTGGCTGTAGAGCTGATCGTGCAATGCCAGAGTGGTTTGGGTTGGGAGGGACCCCAAAGCCCATCCAGTGCCACCCCTGCCATGGCAGGGACACCTCCCACTGTGCCAGGCTGCTCCAAATCCCACTCCAGCCCTTGGGCACTGCCAGGGATCCAGGGGCAGCCACAGCTGCTCTGGGAATTCCATCCCAGCCCCTCCCCACCCTGCCAGGGAACAATTCCTGCCCAAGATCCCATCCAGCCCTGCCCTCTGGCAGTGGAAGCCACTCCCTGTGTCCTGTCCTTCCATGCCCTTTTCCAAAGTCCTTCTCCATCCCTCCTGTAACTTACCCACACCTGCCAGTTGTCATCTGCAGCCATCCCAGCTCTGAGGACATGCTGGACTCATGTGGGAAATGGATTGTAGACCATGGAATGGGACAGACGTTGCTGAGAGAGAAATGGAGCTGGAAACAAGTTTCAGAGGATGGTTTTGTCAATAAGATTAGATACTTTGGAGAAATAGAACAATGAAAGATTCATTGTAGTAGGACCCTCGAGGGGTAATTTTAGATTATTGGCTTTGAGGCATTTACAGCATGGTGTGGTAAAGGCTGATAGGCCAAGAAACACTTAGAGTGTACTGTAATTAGGAAATAGTTAATTTCTGATTGTGATGGTGTGAATTACAACATCTGTATTGTCTCACCCTTCACATGAGACTGAAAATGGAACAAAAGTTGTTAAAACACCTCTCAGTTGCCCCATCTCTGGGTCAGAAAAGGGATTAATCTGACAGACTGTCACTGACATCTCCTTTTCTTCCAGCAGCACTTCACCTCAGAGGCAGCAGCAGCTGAGAGCCCAGGTGAAGGCTGAGCTTCTGAGCATCCTCATGGACACAGCAGATCTCTCCAACGCAATCCACTGGCTGCCCCCAGGATTCCTCTGGGCAGGAAAGTTCCCTCCATGGTTAGTAGGACTCCTGGGGACCATCTCCTCCCTGATTGGAATCTACCAGGCATCAAGAGGAGCAAATTCTGAAGCTGCTTAAGCCAGAACTGAGCTTCACAAGCCCAGTTTTCACATGGTAAAAGTGCCTTTAGTGAGGCAGGGTTGGTGATTTCCTGGGTTGATGATTGTCCTTCCAGATATCCCACAATCAGGACTGGAATCCAGATTCCTGTTGCAGAGTGGATTGTTTGCAGCTGTAATTTTTATCACTCTTAATCAGAGAAATAATTCAGGTGAATCCTCTGAAAATCAAAGATCTCCTACAATGGGTAAAACTGAGGGGGAAAGAGTTGCTTCCATCTGTCCCAAAAGACAAATGCAACCTGCCAGTGCTTTCTGCCACTTAAAGGAGCACAGTGGCCACGGTTCTGTCACAGAGAACTGGTGAGGGATGAATCCTGGGAGCTCCCACTCGGAGCCAGGATGGGACCCCTGTCCTGGGAGTTCTGCAGGTGTCTGGGCTCAGACAGGAGCCAGCAGGGCTGTTGTTTGGTGCTGTTTGTGACCGTTTTGTTTCCTTAGAGGTGAGAGGGGCAGGAAATTGCCGCTGGAAGCAGCATGGACCTTCCTAGCCTGCCTTGCCCGTTTAAGGAGAAATGTTGGAAGTGGAGACTTCCCCCAGAGCTGAGGCTCCGGCTGTGCCTTTGTGGAATGCCACCGGGTGGAGCTCTTCCACCAGGCTCTGGCAGCCGCCGACCTTTTTTTATTTAAAAAAAAAAAAAAAAAAAAAAAGGCAGGAAATTTATTAATCACCTTTCAAAGGAGCAATCAAACCGATGCCGAGGTGGGGTTTGCAGTTACAGTTCTGGGCGTTGCCAATAATAAACGACACAAATGCTTCAAAGGTGGCCTTGAGTGATCATTCCTCCTGATAACAGGGAGAAGTTCTTTATCTTTGGTTCTGGAAAGCTCCAAAGCATTAGTGCTGTGTGAGCTGCAGCTCCACAGGTGTCCCCAGCCTTCCTCCTGCTGCAGTAATTCCCAGCCCCTGCCTGACTGCCATGGAAATGAATTTGAAAAGAGTTGTGCTTGCTCTGCGTGTCCCTGCCCCCAGCACGGCACATGCTGCACTTCCAGGAGCTTTGACCTTGCTTTGTGGGCTTGTTTGTGGCCTGGCACGGGGAGCTGTGGCCTGCCTGTGTTCAAAGAGCAGAGTGAGGCCTGGATACTCTTTATCCTTTGCCCTGTCCTTGGTGTTTATCTGGACCTTCACCCTGCAGTGTCCCTGAGTTGTGCTGGGGAATTGCTGCCACACTGACAGGATTTGGTGCAACTCAGGGCTTATGGAGGAGACTCTTGTTGATTCTCTCCTTTCCTCAGCCCTCTGCCTGAGCAGGGGGAGCACCCAGGTCCTCTGGCTGTTGCCTGCTCCTGTCACCCACTGTGGTGGCTCCTGCTGCAGTTTAGTGGTTTTTAATAATAAATCAGATTTGTGTTCTTAACCCCATTGAATCATTCCTCCAGGACTCACTGTACTGCTCAGCACAGGACAATACCATTAGGTATTCATATACTATAGTATTAATACTAATGCTATACAGGACGATTGTAGCTCTACCAATTAAAAAAAAAAAAAACAAGAAACTTTGCATAACCTCTGATGCCAAATTAATAAACCTCTTAACCATGCATTAATTTTAATGTAGAGAAAGGACACTGTAAACTGCTCTAAGTGCATTTGCTTCATCAGCTCCTCAATAAATAACCTTATTTTGCAGCTGGTAAAGCTGGAACGTGCAGAGATAAATCAAAATTGGGTAATTCAGAATTTCTAGAATTTGTATATTTTTTCTTGAGGTGGTTTTGATCCCTGCTGACACACAGTGTTTAAACACCTGTGCTGGCTGCTGCTGCCTCTCCAGGGCAGCACTCGCTTATTTTTAGCACAAGACCTTATGCATGCAGACCCGATTCTCACAAAACTTGGTGGTTTTCTTCTCTTTTCTGATGTGGCCTCTGCGAGAGGGCGAAGTTCCTTCCCTTGGCCAGGAAAGCAGCCTGCCCCGCTGCTGGAGGTGCCGATGGTGGGCCGGGCTCCACAGCTCGGAGGGGGCTCCATGCAGGAGAACGTTGCTGAGCAGGGCTGGTTCGCTCGGCCGTGCCCTGCCTTTGTCAGCAGCCGGGATCCAAAGGCCGCGGGCAGGCGCTGCCGGTCCCAGCGCGGCTGCCCCGTTTATGGCCCTTTATGGCGGGGTGGCTCCGTCCGCAAGGCTCGGGAGCCTCAGATCCGCCGTCCCGGCCCCGTGGCGCGGCTGGGCCCGGGCCGTGCCGCGATGCTGGGCCCGGGGGACACGGGGGGACACGGGGGGACAGCGGGGACCCCACGCACGTGGGGAGGGGATACGGCCACGCCGCCCGCGGGCTGGGCGGGGTGAACGAGCGGCGCATGCGCACGGCTGGCCCCGCCTGCCATTCACAAAGGCAGAGTACAGAGCGCCGCGGCCGCTGATTGGCTGCGGGGAGGGAGGGGGCGGGGCCAACCCGGGGCGGCCACGCGGCGGCGGCGGAGGGGCGGCGGCAGAGCCGGAGCGGAGCGGGACCGGGCGGGACCGGGAACCGGGTACGGAACCGGGTATGGGAACCGGGTATGGGAACCGAGTGTGGGATAGCGGGGACCGGGCGGGACAGGGAACCGGGTACGGAACCGGGTATGGGAACCGAGTGTGGGATAGCGGGGACCGGGCGGGACAGGGAACCGGGTACGGAACCGGGTATGGGAACCGAGTGTGGGATAGCGGGGACCGGGCGGGACCGGGAACCGAGTACGGAACCGGGTATGAGAACCAGGTATGGAATAGCGAGGACCGGGCGGGACCGGGAACCGGTACGGCACCGGGTACGGGATAGCGGGGACCGGGCGGCACCGGGCACGGAACCCCGTACGGAACTGGGAACGGGAACCGCGTACGGGAGAGCGGGGACCGGGTACAGAACCGGGTACGGGATAGCGGGGACCGGCTACGGAACCGGGTACGGCACCGGGTACAGGATAGCGCGGACCGTGTGGGGCCGGGTACGGCACCGGGTACGGGATAGCGCGGACCGTGTGGGGCCGGGTACGGCACCGGGTGTGGAACCAGGTGCGGAACTGGATGCGGGACCGGGTACGGGATAGCAGGGACAGTGGGGGACCGAGTTCAGAAGCGGGTGCGGGACCGGGTACGAAACCGGGTGCGGGATAACGGGGACCGTGCGGACCGGGTACGAGATAGGGGGAACCGTGCGGGACAGCTGGACCAGGTGTGGGACCGCGGGGCGGGTGCGGGACCAGGTGAGGAACCGCGGGGCCGGGTGCAGAATAACCGAGTCAGGCCCGGGACAGCGGAGCCGGGTGGGGGACCCCTGAGCTGGGTGCGGGACCGCGGGGCGGGCTGGGCACGGGCATCACCGGGAGCGCACATCTCCCCCTCCCCGGCACTGCGTGAGGCCCGGCGGAGTCGTGCGCTGCACGGGTCCGGGAGCTCCCGGTGCCCCGTTTCGGTCGGTGCCCCGCAGCTGACCGGTGCTCCCGGTGCCCCGTTTCGGGACGGCCCCACCGCGCTCCCGTTACCGGCCGGTACCGCGCTCCTCTCCGCGGCCGCCGTCCCGCCGCAGCCCCGGCCGTGGCGGGCCCGGGACCGCGCTGCCCGTGCTGACTCGCCGGTTTTGCCTCGCAGAGCAGCCTCAGCACTATGTCCGTCAGCAGCCACGAGAACCGGAAATCCCGCTCGAGCTCCGGCTCCATGAACATCCACCTCTTCCACAAACCGGGCCACGCCGACAGCCTCCTCACCCAGCTGAACCTGCTCCGCCAGCAGAACCTCTTCACCGACGTGGTGCTGCGGGCGGGGAACCAGAGCTTCCCCTGCCACCGCGCCGTCCTGGCCGCCTGCAGCCGCTACTTCAACGCCATGTTCAGCGGGGGCCTGAAGGAGAGCAGAGATGGCGAGGTCAACTTCCACGACTCGCTGCACCCCGAGGTGCTGGAGCTGCTGCTGGACTACGCTTACTCAGCCCGGGTGCTGATCAACGAGGAGAACGCCGAGTCCCTGCTGGAGGCCGGGGACATGCTGCAGTTCCAGGATATCCGGGATGCTTCGGCTGACTTTCTGGAGAAGAATCTCTACCCTGGGAATTGCCTGAACATGCTGCTGCTCTCCGATGCCCACTGCTGCGAGCGGCTGCTGGAGCTGTCCTGGAGGATGGCCTTGGCCAACTTCACCTCGCTCTGCAAGACTGAAGATTTCCTCCGGCTGCCCAAAGACAAGCTGCTGGAGCTGGTGGAGAGCGAGGAGCTGGAGGTGGAGGATGAGACGCTGGTCTACGAAGCCGTTATAGGCTGGATCCGCTACGATTTGCCCCGACGCCACGAAGTTCTGCCCGAGCTGCTGCGCTCCGTCCGCCTGGCCCTGCTGCCCGAGTCCTACCTGCGGAAGCAGGTGGCCTGTGAGAAGCTGGTGACCAGCCACAAGCTGGGGGAGGAGATCGTGGCCGACGCCGTGCGCTGCAAAATGAAGATCCTGCAGAACGACGGCCTGGTGACGGGGTGCTGCGCCCGGCCCCGCAAGGTCAGCCAGGCCCTGCTGCTGCTCGGGGGCCAGACCTTCATGTGCGACAAGATTTACATGCTGGACCATAAAACCAGCGAGATCATCCCTCGTGCCGACATCCCCAGCCCCCGCAAGGAGTGCAGCGCCTGCGCCATCGGCTGCAAGGTCTACATCACCGGCGGCAAGGGCTCCGAGAACGGCGCTTCCAGGGACGTCTGGGTGTACGACACCCTCCACGACGAGTGGGCCAAAGCTGCTCCCATGCTGGTGGCGCGGTTTGGCCACGGCTCCGCCGAGCTGGACCACTGCCTGTACGTGGTGGGGGGTCACACGGCCATGAGCGGGGCCTTCCCGGCCTCTCCCTCCGTGTCCCTCAAGCAGGTGGAGCACTACGACCCTCAGCTGGACAAGTGGTCGCTGGTGGCTCCTCTCCGGGAAGGCGTGAGCAACGCTGCCGTGGTGGGAGCCAAGATGAAGCTGTTTGTTTTCGGGGGCACCAGCGCCAACCAGAACAAGCTGCCCAAGGTGCAGTGCTTCGACCCCTGCCAGAACCGCTGGACGGTGCCCGCCAGCTGCCCCCAGCCCTGGCGCTACACGGCCGCCGCCGTGGTGGGCAGCCACGTCATCGTCATCGGCGGGGACACGGAGTTCTCCGCCAGCTCCGCTTACCGCTTCCACAGCGACACCTTCCAGTGGTCCAAGTTTGGGGATGTCACGGCCAAGTGCATCAGCTGCCGCGCTGTCACCTCGGGGAACAGGCTCTACGTGGTGGGGGGCTACTGCGGGGCTCAGCGCTGCAAAACCCTGGACTGCTACGACCCCTCGTCCGACAGCTGGAGCAGCGTCACCACGGTGCCCTACTCCCTCATCCCCACCGCCTTCGTCAGCACCTGGAAGTACCTGTCGGCCTGAGCGTGGCCAGGGACCTGGAAGGTAAATAGTTGTGGGTCAATTCTGTATCAGGTTAAAATTTCAGGGGCAGATGCACGTGGCTCTGGACTGGAGTTGTCCTAGAGAACAGCCTTGTGTGAGTATCAGCTCCAAAACTTCCAGGCTGGTGGTGTGGGATCTAAAAGCCCTGCAGGAGGGAGCAGGTCTCTCTAGGTGCTGAAGCACTGCAGGGAGAAGATCAGTATAAATAACAAGACTCTTAACCTGGCATCTTGGCCCGTGCAAAGATTTTGGGGAATGCTGTGTGCAGGGATTGGGTGTCGTGCCTGGGTCGGGAGGCTGGAGGAGCCGATGTTTTTGCAGGCAGGCTGTCTGCAGGAGCTGGGACAGACCCCGTGGTGCCACCGGCTCCGGCTGCTGCTTT